CAACAAAACATGATGATGGACTACAAAACACTGGGATCAATTAGGGTACAGTGACACCGGAATAGGGTTATAATTGGGTACATGTATAAAAGGGTCCAAAACCAAGGAAACTATTTACATAAATCCGGGCGATCTCGCGACCGTATACACCGGTTCCGCCATTGGTCTGCCGCACTGGCCAGCGGCACTCCTAGTCCCTGCCCTGACCACCACTACTCCCGTCCTGCACCTGCAGGCGAGGGCGCTACAATAACATACTTCAATTCTACATTTTAACTATACTGTATATCCTAGTATTTTATTTGTCTTTTTAATTTCTTCTCTTTACTGCCTAGAAGATGCCTATGATGTGTAAACATAAACACCTAAGTCTTTTCCCTAAACCTCTTAGTTAGAATATTTGTATTTATAGTTTTATTTATTTATAGTTTGTAGTTATAGTATATATATATTTTTACCACCAGCATGCCATACGCTGCACTTGTGTACACTAAACACAACGTGCACGGTCGTGTTTTATTTTTACTAAATCGTTATGTACAGTATTTCATTTGCCGCTTCTGCAATCTTTGCCAATCCCCCTATTTTGGCATCATCTGCAAACTCCACTAAAGTTTACGAAGAACACTGGTCCTGCTACAGATGCCCGTGATACTCGACTAATTAGTTCACCCCAGTCTGAGTATTCATGCCCTATTTGCTCCCTGTTTTCTAGTAACCACTTCTTAAACACTCGCGTTTCCCTGAATGTTATTGAGAACTAGCTTGACATTTGCAATTAGTTTGAATATAGAGAAAGTGGAAGTAGCAGAAATAGCTACACAGATTTGACAAAAATATAAGGGATACACTGCTTAAACTGTATTATTACAGAAATAATATGAAGAAGTTGAAGCTGTGTAGGTGGTGTGACCGCTAGTAAAGAGGGAAAGTTTCCATGGTGAGATGTCATCAAAATGTACTCGGTTGCAAATAAAAGTAGAAAATACAACAGGAAGAGTTATATAACTCTAAAATCATGGGTATACAGGCTGGATCAATGTACACTTGTGTAGTAAAACTTTCAGTCGCATTGACTAGATCATTAGAAAGTCTCGCAAACTCCTACGTGATATTTCGAGGCTACCTAATCTAATCTAAATTGTTTATAAGTAAAATATAACACAGGAAAGTACGACTGTCGTCTGCGGTCCTGTCAAAAATACTACTCAGACGTTCTACCGTAAAGCAATTCGTTTTTATTACGTCTTTATGTTTGGGGAAAGGTTTCAGATTTCACAATATTCTGATAAAGAAAAGTAGAGCAATTGAATGCGATTTAAGTTAAAAGCCATCATTTGCAAAGTTAATTTTTGAACAAGAAAGCCTGCAAAGTCGAACCACAGAACAGAGCTTCTGTATTGTTCAGTATTGTATATTTCAATGGAGGAAACAAAACAGATAGCCTTCATCTACGAAGAGTCATGTGATTGCAGTGCTATTAAAAACGAATGAAGCAGAAACGATGTTTACCTTCTATATTTAATTAAAAATAAAAAGATATACGTTGTGTTACTCATCTGCTTCAAAGCTTGAACTGTTTTGTTTATGAATGAGGAGGACTTCCTGCAATGTTTTTTCTTTCAACCTAGCTACATACGTCATGTAATACTGCGGTGTGAAAAAGTTTGTCACATACTGTATTGCATGTCACTTTACCAGTGTGTTGCACTTACTGTAGCACAGTGGAAAAACAACTTTACGGGCAACATGGCTCCATAAGTAATCATATTTGCCCTCTTTTTTATTCAACAGATTGTGACTTGTGAAACATGGCCAATAAGGAGGAACTAGAAGAAAAGCTTAAAAAATTAATTGTGAGGTTAAAAAATGTCCAAGAAGGAAAGCAACTGGATACACTTATTCAGATTCTTGAGGATTTACTCTTCCTTACTTTTGCTGGCGACTGTGGTGAGTAGATGGTAGATACAGTACTATATCGATGTTGTCCTTTAGAAAACATACTTTAGGCAGATCTACTTGAATTATAGAACAATAAACTAATTTTACTTTTAGAACTACGATTAACTCCTGCCTCTTCACACTCTGTGCTATAAAAATAAAGTCTTCTCGAGCTACAGTATAGTTGCAAATCACTGTAAATCAGTTATCGTTGAGCATCGTATCTACTTCAAAATGGAATTACTGATAATACTGTCTATTTTTTTCAGCAACAGAATTATTTGAAGATAAAGACGTTCACCTGCCTTTAATGGTGGTCTTAGATTCTTACATTGACAGTCATGCTGTACAAGAGGTCAGTGCGTATTATTTACTGATGCCATTTTAACGATGGTGGTGGTTTTAGAAAATATATTAAGACCAAGCACCAGATGATACGATTTTGGGAAAAATAAAAAATCTATTTTTCATTGCAAGAGTTTATTTAAAAAGTGCAATGTTCACTGGGGAAAAGGTGTTTAGTTAGCTTTTTCCATAAAATATACAGTAGTTATTTATGCATTATTGTTTTCTAATTAATGGTAATGTTTTAATGTCCCCTTTTTATTAATTCTTACCTTAATACTTCTGAATAGTGTTGTTGTTGAGTTTTATCCTGATTGCTGTACAGAGACATTAAAATTGAAATTCTCCATACTGTAACAACTCTAATAGTATCAAGTTTTAGTAATACTGTCTTAGAAATGTCTTATATATTTTTCTTATAAATGTATTTATAAGAAATGTGCCCATGGAAGTTAAAGTGCTTGGTTGATAAATGTTTTAAATTATGTATACAACAGTTTTTATTTTTGTGATTATGAACTAATTAAGGGTGATTGAACGTTATAGGGCCAACCTGGAAGACGCTGAGGTTATTGTACATAGGAAACTTGCCTTACAGGAATTCCAAGTGCTTTTGAAGCATGTCCATGAACAGCTTTAGGAATCTAAGTTTGAATGCCTGAGCATCTGGCTTCTTGTTCTTGGGAATGGAGGAAGAGAGCCTAAGTTAAATATTTAACCCAAAAGCAGTTTTCATTGCATTTTATGAGTGGTATCAGGGTGTGTTACTGCTCGATGTTATAATACATTCTTACTTTATTTAGTAAGGCAGAGAACACATCCCATACCAAATGGCCTGAAATGCCTTTTAAGAACTGATGAACGCTTTGGAGTCTTAGTAATTGTTTTCTGATGAAAAATCAACAGTACTGATCTAAAACTGAATGGGTTTGATCCTAAGGTGGGATGGTCATTGCTCTGCAGACTAATGGAAGTTTGCCCTTCTACTTTGGAAAAGTTATCAGCTCCACAAGTTGAAAAAGACTGGGAAGTACTGGGAATACACCAGTAAGTATGCATGTTTATCTCTTCTGCAAATTCATAAACTGATGTAAACTTTCATGTTTATGTTTTGTGTTTCTAGATGTGAAGAGGTTTGCGGGCTTGGGTGATAATAAGGAATTGAAATGACCGCAGTCCACGGCATTTATGTTCCTGCAGGGTTTTATTAAAAATAAATCAAGCTTGAATGTTTAGTTTACTTAAGTAGATGCTTAATGAAGGAAGGAGGTGACTGGGGTGTTTGGGGAAAATTTGTTTGGGATGACATGAACTTTAACTTTTTTTAATTTTCTTTCTTTAATGTACAGTACAAGGAAGGAGACACCTAGGTTGCAGGTCTGCAATTTTTACAATAAGATGTTGAGTCACTTCCTCTGCAATTTTGAGAACCACAACTGCTAACAGGCCTTTGTTAACAAGAGGATGTGATTTTTTTCTTGTTTGTGCCATTAATTGGGTCTGCTTTTAGCACACTGTTTGAAGCAGCTGAAAAATACAAAAAGATAAGCCTTTCTGTTTTTATTTAGGTTGCATGTCAGTCTTTCTTATTTTTCTCACAATGTGTTTTTACAAAGGCAGATTCTGAAGATGCTGTCTTTGCACAATGGCCATTCAAAGCTGATGATGATTGGACTCAGAGCTTTATCGCATCTTTTACAGTCAGGTTGGGGCTGTTTAAGTTTTATCCCAATTTGATGTACTGTATACGCATATAACTCAGAAATGGTTATATGTGTTATTAGTCGACGTGTCACGTACTGTATCAGTTTTTAATTAAAATCATATAATTCTGTATGTTTTAGTACTTTGGAATACATTTTTTCTCTAGGCACCCTCTTTTTATCTGTTTTAGATAATGAACTCACTTTACATTACTTGTATTGTCTGTGTAATAATTTTAGATGAAGTAACATGCTTAGATTTTTAATTATGTGATTCTCTCATTGTTCCAGATGCAATTTTGTTAATGATCTTAGAGGAAAATATTGATGTCTTCCTTTTGATTGTTGATGCAATGACTGTCTTCTGCTCAAATGAGGAAATCCAGATCTACGGATGTAAATCATTACAACTGCTTCTAGAAAAGGGTAAAAGCATAATTGTTCCAGACGTTAATGTCATATCCTAGAAATGCATATAGAAAATAAGGCAAATGCTGTACATGTATAGTGGTAGAACAAATAAAGAATATACTGTATATAAATACACATTCTCCATCTGATGGCATTGCTTTAGACCCTCTTTTAATTCCTACTAAATATTTTAAGATCATTTTAAAGTATGTTAATTGTTTTAGATTTAATTAAACATTTATTTCAGTTCCAGATGTTCACTTAATTGAATTTGTGGAAACTCAAGATCACAATGCAATTCTGAATGCTGCAAGGCAATTCCAAGACAATGAAGACACTGTTCTACATGCACTGAGAGTCTTGCTTCCTTTGGCTGGTCCTGGTAAGGCTTTGAGAAGCACATTTTGTGGCTGAGCTCCCAGTTTTGAACTGCAGCACACACTACATCTATGGGACAGCATGTCTTTGGCATCGACCAATGTCTTTCCTGGTTTGCTCTAATTGGGATTGAATGAGGCTGACAAGATGTGCAGTTATATAGCTGTACAGTATATACTGTATACTGTATATTATACCATATAGGTCTGCACTGAAGATTTGCATTGGCTCTACGTTTTTTGTTTTCATTCACTTTACTTTCTGTGTGCTCCAGTTTTCTCCCATAGTCCAAAGGCATGCTGTCTAGTGTCTCTATGTTGCCTTGCCTTAGGTGTGTGTACATCCTGTGATAGATCGATGTTGCATCCAGGCTGTGCTCACATCTTGCACTCAGTGACTTCTGGGTTAGGCTGCTTCCCATGGCCCCTCTGAGTATGAAGTAATTACTAAAAATGGATGATCTTGGACTTTGCCAATAGGAAAAGAAATAGAGTATTTGAGATCTCCCTTTAGCTCAGCTGGCAGGTTCCCTGTTGAATGACGCCAGAGGCCTGCGGGGGGCCGAACTGAGGTGGCAGCAGCAAAGGCGCATACCCACGTGAACCCGAAAGCGCTACAGTATTATTTTAATGAATGTCTTACCTATACTAATGACTGTTAACCAAAATTATGTTATAAATGTTACCTCTATGAATCTAGATAAAATGTGTAACAATAAAGATCTCAAAAAAGATAAGAAAAAATCTTGTGAATTTAAACCCAAATGTATCTTCCAGTGTTTGTTCTTTGGGAATAAATGTAAGATCATAAGAATGTTAAGAATCAAGAGGAATCTATTTGGTTGAAATTCGTCTCATTGAGCAAAGGATCTTATCCAGCCATTTCTTTAAGGGAGCCCGGGTATCAGCTTCAACCACATGGCTTGTTTCATACCCCTGTAGCCTTTTGTGTAATCAAGTTTCTCCTGTTCTCAGGTTTGAATGCATGTACAGTACCCAGAGTTGTAACTTAAATACACTTTGCTATTTGTTGCACTTTCATCTAAAACATGGATAATATTTTTTTTTTCTGTTTTTCAGCCAGCAATGTTGAAGTTCTTATGTCAGGAAATGAAAGATGTTATAGTTTGATAATGTGTGCTATGGGATCATATCCAAATAATGAAAAACTGCAAGAAGTTGGTTGTCGTTTGTTCCTGAAATTTACATCAGGTATGTGGGACACTGCATCTAAGGCTTCGAATTGTGGATTTCAGTTTTTTATTATATTCTATGGAAAGGTTACAGATGTGAGGGGTGCATTTTGTGGTGACCAGTAATAATCTACTGTTTTCTGTTTTACATGTTGAATTATATTTCTCTTTGAGGTCCCAGTTAAACAATCTTTTGACTCATAGTTGTATCTGCTACAGATAAATTCCTTTATAATTGCTACCCACAATGTACATAGTTATTTTTCACAATCCAAATTCCAAAGTATGAAAAATCAAGAATTGTGTGATGATTTTATCCACAATTAAGAACCACAAGTCTCCATCCATGTAAACATTAATTCATTGATTCTTACTAACCTGAAATAATTGTAATTATAAGTATCTTTATGCAAACTTCTTTTAGAAGAACTTTGAGTTTTCTGTGTTTGTGAATCCTATGTATATTTTTCAGAGAGTTATTATAACATCCTTGTATTAAATGGAGTACATAAAGTCATTGTAAAGGCATCAGAGATGTATCCAAGGAATGCCAGCCTGCAGGCATCTGCTCTGTCTTGCTTGGCTTCCCTCAGTAAGTAAAGTAGTTTATCATTATTATTGTATAGTTTACCATTTACTGTATCTATATTGGGAAACTATTACCAGTTTGTATTTCTAATGCTGAAGTAAGGTACTGTATTTGATCATTTGTTTGGAGACATGTACTATATACAAGATCATGACGATGGCATTCGAGATCCTATGGCACTGTATGTAGGAGTAGAGGTACAGTACCGTGGTATCCTGGCTGATTGCCATTTTGTGCTTGCTCAGTTTAGCCTACCTGATTTTCCTCCGAATTTAACTGGTGAAGTAATTCTTCCTTGGGACTGCAAAATTTTCACCCTGGTGGCTGCTACACTTCAGTGGTAGATGAAAAGGGTTCTTCCTATAGATAGAGCACCTTGGGATCCAGAACACTTTAAAAAGCAAAAAAATGTTATTATGAGGTTGTATTGTTTGCATAATTATTTGTAAACTATATATACAGTCAAAGGTTTGGAAAAACTGCAAAGTTGTTGGGAAATGAAAAATACAGTATTCTGTTTTACAGGTTTAATTCTTTTGTCTCATTTAGGTCTCACTGAAACCCTCTGCTGACTTATAGTTGTATTAGTTTATTCCTTTAATATAAATGGAACTATTCTAAACGATCTGTTATTCTAAACAAAGTTTGAAAAATGTGATTTCTCCCCAGTTATTGATAATAATTTTTGTATGCATTGTTAATGCTGTTGTTCACGAAAATATTAATATGATTTTTAGTACTATCGTGTTTTGAAAAAACATTATGTAAAGCATGATACAATTCTCTTGTGTGGTATTTTATTATATAATAGAGGAATGCAGTATAATGTAGGAAGTCAGAAAGTCTTGAGGTAAAGCTATTATTAGGACTGATGAATTAATGACATATAATATTATTGTGTGTCTAGTGACATATGGTATCATCTCCTATGTAATGCAGCAGTTGTGGTAGATTGTGTGCAGATTGATTTTTAACATCACTTAATTTAAACTTTACTAGAACAAAATTTAAGCTTTTTAAGCAATTCCAAAGCCAGAAAACAACACTGATGGGAACAACCAGTCCACTTCACAAATCTTTCTTGTACAGTAGATAATTTGTCTTTACTGCATGCATATCCCAAACCTTGAAACTGCTTCCATTGCCAGTGGAAACTGCAGACACCTTTAATGGCATATTCCTCTCATTACAGCTGAAACAATCATTTTAAACAAGGACCTGGATGAATGGAAAGAAGAAGACGATATCTGCTGGGTGGACTCTTGCGTCCGAGCTCTGGAATTACACAGAGCTAGTGCAATGGTCCAGGTGTGTAATGGCAGATTCTTCCCATGCAGATGCTGCTCAGTTTGAAAATAGGTTTTACTATTTCATTTTTTTTTAATTTTTAAACCAGGAAGCTGCTTGCTGGGCCCTGAATAACCTTCTGGTGTATGAAAGTCAGCTTCACGAAATGTTTGGAGATGATGAGGGGAGGTAACAGTTCTGTCTTTTATTTTATTTCATAAATTGGATTTGGATCTAGGCAACCACATATCTGGACTCCATTTTTATATCTTAAGGTAGAATGTGGACTATTAATGCTGTTAATTTTCCCCACTGTACTGTTCATAATATCCATATTATTGACTGTAGTTTTGGTGATGCATGTCCATAACAGGAGCTTGGCCAACAAAAACTCTGCCTAAGAGCATAATGGATTGCTGAGACTCCAATAGTTGTATGCTCTGATTATTTTTTAAACCTAAACCTCAGTTAGTTTGCTTTGTTACTAGGTGTAGCAGTCCCAGGCTTGCTTTAGTGTTTTTGTCCATTAAAGCATTACATAAGGTAAATGGTTTAATGAGTTTATTGCACATGTTGCTTTTGATAGGGGAATTGTACAAATCAGTAATAGCTGTAGGTGCTGCTTGAATGAATTGTAGTCAAAATCTGATTATTATGATATCAGTGATATCAATGTTTAGTAATAGTTAATCCAAATCTTTAATACAGTTGTTAGTTCTGTGGGAAGTCTCAGACTTTTTTTCCCTACTTTTTACAGGTACCCAGTGCATAGGCAGGTGATGGCTTCTATGCTTTTGCATTCATCTTCACAAAGAGTTTTCCAAGCTGCTGCTAATACATTAGCAACACTGGTTGATCAGAACAGTAAGTTATCTTACCCTTAGCTTTCCGTCACTCACATCTTTACCTTATAGGAATCAACTTAAAATAGGGTTTAGAATAATTTTGTATTGCAGTGACTGTATGTAGCTGAATTATGTTTTAAAATTTTTATTTTTAAAAAATATTATTTTATTTTTTTAACACCCAGAACATTGTTTAACAAGTAAATTGTCATTAAAGGGCTTTAAAATAATAAATTGATTCTGTGGCAAATTATGTGCAGATGTGTTTTTACTCTGATTTACACATTTACTGTCAAAGGGTTTTAATGAAGTAATTAAGCTGAAATATCTGTTCAGCATGATAAAGACAGAAAACATAAAAATACATAAAAACACAAAAAAGGCCAAATTACAGGTGGCTTATGTGGTAGTTGAGTAACTAAGGAAATCTAAAATTTCATCCACATGTTTCTTGAAGGAGCCCTGAGTGTGGGCCTCAAGCTACTTGCTGGGAAACCTTTATTTAGATATCTTCAACTCATTATGTAAAATATTTCCTATTCTCAGTCCTGAATGGATTGTGTTTAATTTGCTGTTGTGATCCTGTATCCTTGTGTCTTTACTGAGTGTGAAATAGTTTCCTGGGTTTATCCAATTTCCTTTAAGAACATAAGAAAGGTTTCAACAGAATGGAGGCTGTATAAACAAGTTAGCTTATCTGGTAGCTTCCTTGGCTTATGGGAAATTTTGCCCTGGTGTGAATGTGTGCATGTTTCTGTCTGACTTGCAGTGGACTGGGTGTATCCTGCCTTGTGCTTGTTGCTTTCCCGCATAGACTTCATCTCCCTGCGACCCTGAATTGGAAGAAATGGTTAGAAAATAGGTGGATGAATGAAATGAAAGCAGGGGAGTAGATAATGCAATGTTTTTTTTTGTTAAAAATGTTTTAGGGAAATATTTACAATCGGTCAGTAAAGAGAACTTTGTTAGAACTTTGTTGATTCTTCTCTTTGCTTTTTACCTTTCTTTTTATTAATATTACCGGCACAGAAGCTCTGAAATGATTTAAAATTAAACTTTTGATTAGGTGGTTTAATTTATTTAACAAATGGGTCTCAACAGGTAGAAGTAGGAAAATCTTTATCTAATGTACAATGCACTTCTGTTGGATGTGTTTTGTCCTCTTTATTGTACTTTTTTGTACACTAATGATTGTAAGAACCAAGTCATCTATACACATCTTGTTAAATTTACTGGTGACACAGCTTTAGTCAGCTTATTACAGAGCTTGGTGTCATCATGGGCCCATTTTAAATGATGTTATTGAATGGTACAATGAGTTCTATTTGTATAATTGATTTGGGGAGCAAAGGTACTGGAAGTCCCCCTCCAACCCACTATTATACACGGTCAGATTGTAGACATGTTAGCATTACAAGTATTTTGGCCTGATCATAGATAAAAATTTAAGGTGGAGCAAATGTTGGGAGCCCATTTATAAAAAAGGCCAATAGACCTTTTTTCTAGGGATGTTTTGCCTCTTTAAAGTGCAGATAACTATTTTAACACTTTTCTATAAATCTTTTATTAGGACTGTTAAACATTTGTTTGTTGTTTTAACATTTTTTCTGTTGGCATAATAACATCAGCACTGCAAATTGTAATTGGTTTGGAAAAATAGTGAACATCAAAATCATCGGGGTATATCAGATCAACTTAAATGCTTTCTACAAGCATCTACAAGGATTCTAAAGAAGGCCACAGCATCACTCCAGTGTGAATTTACACGACTCCCATTTGGGAGACAGCACTGTGTTCCAAGGAGTAAGGGTTATAGATCTAGGACATTGTTTATCCCCTCTGAAGTTTCACATTGGCATGATGTAAAATAATGATATGTCTTATTGTATTATAGTTTTTATAATATGTGTTTTTTGTAATAGAATATTGTTTGTACTGACAAATTTGTCCTCACTGTTAACCCAATTTATTTATTAGAGAACTATAAAGGTGTGGGTTAAAAAGTATTCATTATGAAATTTATTTTTTCTGTTGTCCAGGTAAAATAAGAGCTCTACTGTTGTCAAATGGGTTACACATTAATATTATCGATATGATGAAAAAACACTCCACTTCTCCTGATGTTGCAGAGAGTGCATGTAGGCTACTTTATAAACTTTTCCAAGTAAGGTAGGTAAAGATTCATTGTACTATATATATTTTAAATTGTTTTGCATACTGAAGTCTAATAATTACTGGTATGCCTCCACAACATTGCTTTAATTAAAAAATAAATATCAAAAATTGAAAGGAAACAAATAGGTAATTAGATGTTCACTCATTAAAACACCATTTTAAAAAATATTTTGTTTAAAATTCTATCTGTTCATGTACAGATTTCTGCTTTTCACACCTCTCACCCAGATCTCCCTTTTTTTGGACACTCTTTCTCACCTGTGTACGTCCTCACCTACTCTGTCCTTTGATCTCCTGTGATTCGTATTCCAGCCACCTTACTGTCTCTCACTCACACCTGCAGAAGTCTCCATAGATGAAGCGTTTTGCGGCTTTTCAGTGTGGAATTAACCTTTCTTTGTTCCTTTAAAATACCGATGGCACATTACACAAAGAGGAACCTTTTGTCTGTGTCTATGACTTGTATTAGCTTGCAGTTATGAGTGTTCACTTGTATTGAATCTAGTCACGACTTTCCTGACTGTGTTGAACATAATTTATTTAGCCAATAAGATCTTGTATAACATTCAGTCCTTATTGAATATGTTTGTTTCTTACAGGAAACAAAAATATTGCATTTACACTCTGTATTATGACTCAATTTCAAGTCCTGGAATGAATCATTCAAGATATTTCTTGGTACTGCAACTACACCTTGAGATTGTTTAGACAGTGGTTAGCTTGGAAATAGAATTCTAATATTTAAGGAGATACGGTATTTTTTAAATCAACAGTTTTTTTTTCAGTCCCTGTAAATCAAAATCACGGTTCATGTTGATAGTAAAATTGAAGTCTGCCCACACAGGAAGGCTGTAACCACAGAATTGTGTGGTTCTCTCATGGAATTCCCCAGAACTGGTCTTACCCTACTCCCATTACTGAGCTTTTTCACAACATCTGTACCTGTTCATTTACTGTACAAATGTTTAAAAAGGTGAAATGACTGACAGCTCGGTTTTAAAATAGAAAAGTACAGCTGTGAATTATTTGTATTAGACACGTGAAAATAGATGTTAATACATGTTAACAAGTCTAGAAAATAATTAACATAGTATGTTGTTTATGTGAATCGAGAGCCCATTTATTTTTTTATGTTCTCTAAATCAGTGAAAGTGCCACATACATTGAGATTTAGATATTATATTACTGTATTTCAGAATGACAACCCTTGATGAAGTGACCATGGCCATGGCTGAGATATTAAATGCCATGAAAACCCATAACTCTGTGCTTTCAGTTCAGCTTGAGGGACTTCGAGCTAGCTTGATGTTGCTTAATCCAGGTGAGTGGTCAGCAGTAGAATCTTTAAAAAATGTTGTTTAATAAAGCAATCTCATCCTAAACACTTTGGAAGAAAGAAAAAGCAAAATAAAAATCTTCATTTTAACGTTTTTACTTTTCTGTGGATTACATAGAATGTCATGGTGATTTCACTCTATAGACAAACATTTTCAGTAGATTACAGGCATACATGGCAGACTTCTTGAAGAATATGTGTATAAACTCTTAAATATATTTATAAGTCTTCAAGAGGTGTGGTGTAATAACCCCATTACAATGTTGTGTCTCTGTATTCATATCCCCTTAGGTTTTTGGCATACTGTAAGTATGCTATAGAAAAACATGCTAATAATATAAAACCTTGAATTTTCTATTTTTTATGTTGTGTGTTTTTTGTTTATCTCTCTATATTGTGTGTTTTGCCTTATTAGTATATTAGGGATTCTTGGTTGTAATTCATCTTGGATAAAGGCATCAGTGTAATGCAGAAATGTAAAAAAGATTACTGTAAATGTATTCACAGATTTATTAAAAATTCCTCACAGAAAGCAGCACTTGCAGTGACCTCTAATCCTGTTAAGGATTAAATTGTTTTATTTATGTTGTATGCATTTTGAAAGCTGAGTGTAGACTATAAAGGATGCAGAAATATAAAAAAAACAAAGTGCTGTCCTCAAATTTTCAAGAACACTGAATCAAAGGTAAATTCTAAGTGTTTTGTAGCTTTATAGTAGTTAGGTACTTATTTTTTATTGTTTAATTTTCAAGGTATACTGTAACTGTGACTGAATCTGATTCTGTTCAACATGTGGATTTACAGAACTGAAATAGCAATGGTTTCCCTTAGGCTCAGATCTTCCAAGGCCATTTAATAATTTTTACTTCACTGTAAGGGACATGTCTGCTAACATTAGTATATCAAAATAATACATGTGCAAAATATAAAAAATAAAATTGTTATACTAAACTGCTGCCTTGATTGATTTGGTGGACATTTATTATTTTAGACAGAAGACTGAAAGAGCATGGATCTTCTGTAGGTGATCCTGACATGGTAGATGTTACTCTGAAAGTCCTTAAAAATCAATGTGTCTTAGAGGGAGCCCACACCGTGTTTTTAGAAGCATTGAACAAGGTAGGAATACTCTTTTGGTATCATCACAAATATATTAGGCTATGCAATAAAAAACAACATTTTATTTAGTTTGAATTTGTTTGTAATTTGTAATATTGCAATTAAAGATTATTTTGTATCTTCAGACACACACACACAAAAGTGTGTATACCTTTTATACATCAGCATAAAACCTAGTTTACTATTTTATCTAATTGAAAGAGGTAATTTCTTGGATTAGAAGCTGAAGTAATTTAATGCTTGTGAAACAAAATTTTAAGAAAGTGACCCCAGCCTAATTCTTTAATATACTGTATGGAACATACTATATGTACATAAAACATGAATATACAAAACACATATACATATTTATTTTATATTTTTAATTCTTTCTCGATTCACATAAACATTATGGGTAACAATAAATCAGTTTAGAAACAAAAGTGGATTTGAATGTTACGATACACTGTTGTTGTGGCTTAATATTTAAATTACACTCAGGCAAAGTTACAAAACCTGCAGGATGTGACAAGTGGCCTCCTCTCATTTGTGACATTTTGTCACAGTTTCCTTTAGTATTAACTTCTCAAGTGAGAATCATCTTATAAAAGGGTAATTTATTCGGCACTCATACAGTACATAAAAAACATAGACATGAATGTCTAAACAGTGTGGATACCATTTATTTGGAGAAACAATCAGCTACTGTAGTACTGTTCTGATTCTACCAGTTCTCATTAGTTAGGTTAATATTCAGTTATTTTATGTTTATATGCTATAGAACATGGACTAATCGTGGTTGTTTCTCATTCGTAACTTGGCCTCCATTCATGAAATTTCTATTTGCTGGGGTCTTTTTGTGGATATTCCATTTATAGTGTTTTTAATAAGGATGAAAATATGGTAAAAAGAAGAAATGCTTAAATCTATTTCATGAAAAAAAACAGCATAAGGAGAAATTCTTTTTCGGTGACCCTTCATCATACCATGTATTTGTACTCATTTTTGATGATTGTACAACTACTACAGATGCTGCTACAAATAAAGTGTAAAGTGTGAAACATGTTTTTCCTGTTTTCTATCTTAGATGTGCTTACGATTATCCACAAGTATGAAAATTCTTTACTTTAAAGTCAGCATGTATATTTAATTTAATTTGATTTCTGTATTGAATTGTCAGTTCATTGGCAGTCCAGCCATTCAGGAGTGTGGCCTAAATGTGCTTTCTGCCCTGGCTGAAAGTTCGGGTGCATTGGAGCTTATGTCTCAGCAAGGAGCATTAGACACAGTGCTGCACACTCTGCAGATGTTTTCCGAAGAAAAAGGTGAGGAAAGGTTCCTGCTTATGACCTGCATCTTGTGATTGTCTTCTTCATTTTTTCTGACTTGGGGTTCGTTAGCTCTTGTTAATTCATTTTTTCAGCAAAAACAGCTAATTAAATCTACATTGCCATACATGTGTAAAGGGTATGGAAATTAGCACTGTACTCTGTAACCTTCGTATCATTAATATGCTTATTGATATTGTTTGATTACATTCATTCCAGCAGAGTTGATTTCAGAATAATGTGTGTACAGTGCACAGTAGTTCATTAAAATGGTAAATATAAGGTATAGCATAGAGAGTAATAAAGTGGTAATAGCATGTCTTACAGGATTTAAAACACAAAAACACTACAGATAACTAGTTCTTTAAATCTCACTGAAGATCACTTTATCAGGCATATACAATTTCTTGCATTAGGAATTTGTTTTTTCGCATACCCCAACTTGCTCTCCATGAGACACACAGACAGGGAGAGAAGCTTGGTGTCAGAGCGCAGGGTTTGCCATTCATACGGTGCCCCTGGAGCAGAAAGGGTTAAGGGCTTCGTTCAGGGTCCCAATTGAGTAGGAATCCTCTCCCGGATGCAGGATACAAACCGGCAACCTTCCAGACACATTTGCAGATCCTTAGCCACAGAGCCACCGCACTTCCCATTAATGTTATATGTTTTATTATATGTTTTATTATATGTTTATTGTTCATAAAATATAAAATCTGTTTTATTGTTCAAGTATAGAATAAATTTCAGGCGTTTAACAGTGTGTATCACCTAAGAAATGCAGTGTATAAGTATCAGTTCATAGGGATTATGGGGAACACAATGAGAAAATTATTGTCTTCTGTACATTTATTGTCTTTTTTCTTTTTTATAATAGAAATACACTTCTTGGCACTCAATCTGCTTCATTCACTTATCTCAAAGCAAAAAATATCACCAGCAGCTGTCCCTGTTTTGGCATCTGTTCTTATGAAATCTTTACAGCGATACCATGACAATCTGGAAGTTCAGTTCAAGGTAATGTCATTTGAGGCCAGGTATTTTTTGAATAATTTAATTTCTAACTTGTTTGTATTCATGCAGTCAGAAACATCTCATACTGTGCAGTTTACAACACATTTGAATAATCTTTGATGCCTATTTAGAATACAAGATGTAAACATTTTCATATAGTTGAAGAGATCTTTATTACCACATCAGTAATTTCATAAGCATATTTTGATAGACACAAAAATGCTTTCATACATTTTTCAGCTCCTATTTCAGAGATCTCCACTATTAAATTTATTGAAGAGCTTGAACCCAGCGATAATGACCACATACACTGCTTTCCACTTCGGTCCTCTATAGTGTATACAGGATTACTGGAATTTAGTTCACATAAATTGTGAAAAATAAATAAATAAAAAAATAAATAAAAAATAATCATTTTCACTGTCAGTGAATCTTAGAGAACCTTCTTAAGTCATAGTAGAAATTAGGATGTATCTCCAGCTGATATTCCAGTATTTGGAAGCTTAATAATAAAAACCTATTTGAATTGAATATGATTTTTTAGAAATACGTACAGACAGCACAGTTGACAGAGATTGTGTTTTTAGCACTATCGAGTGTCATATAATACTCATTTTTTAAGTGCTTCATTCCAATTCAGGGTCATGGGGGAACCAGAGCCTGCCGTGGCAAGCAACAGGCATAAGGGACAGTACACCCTGGATGGGACACTAGTCCATCACAAAGCATAAATAGACACATACATGTATACACCTGCAGGAGGGGCAGTTTTCCCAGAAGCCCCATTATGTCTTTGGACTGTAGGAGGAAACCCATGCAAAATTGAGGAGAACATACAGACAGCACACAGATAGCACCATATGTCAGGAACTGAACCCAGGGCCAAGTGCTGTGAGTCACTACACCATCATGCTGCCCCCTGTGGGATAATCTTTCATTACAAAAGGAAAAAGTGATAATTTTGTGCAATACAATGTGCAACGCCATTGTACATCTAAGAACATAAGAAAGGTTACTAACAAGGGGAAGACTTTTGGCCCGTGTAGCCCATTTGGTAGTTAGTAGCTTATTAACCCAAAGATCTTCTCCAGCAGTTTTTTGAAAGAAGCCATGGATTTAACAACATGGCTGATCTGCTTTGTTGCATACTCCCACAAATTTTTGGGTAAAAAAGTGCCTCTTTTACTCGGTTTAAAATACATTTCTACATAGTTTTCACTTGTGCCTTCTGGTTCTTGTTTAAAGGGGAACTGCAACGTTATTTTCTTAGTTTGGGGTGAGAAAGAATCAGCACTGATGAGTGCATTTCAGATCACAATGAAAGTAAAATGTACAAAGTAAGATGTAAAACCTCCAGTTTTAGAGGAAATCTCCAGATGCCTGCAGTGTCATCACTGTCCAAGATTTGGAGCGAGGCAACAAAACTTCTGGTGACTTGAAGCAGCCCTATTGTATTGTAAACAAGCAGGCTTGTGAATTCATCTCTTTTAATCCAATAGAAATATTGCTCTCAACTTTGAGTTGGTTTTGCCAACAAATACTGTACTACTTGTTAACTTTGCATGCAAATCATGTTGAAATGTTTCTGAGGTGAAATGTCTGCTGCACAACCTGTAATTATTCGCTCGTGCTACAAATTAGATTAGTCATTACAGTGACTAATGAGCAGGAAGGGTCACAATTCTTGTGACCACTTATTCCAGCTACTGGTGAGACCAGACGTCTTCAACAAAATGGTGACCATAGAGTACTTTCACAAAGTTCACAATTTTGTGCTTAATTCAGAATTCATAAAATTTTCATCAATTAACTTATCTTATTACTTAGATTTAATATCCAGCCTGAGAAATTAGGACTGCAGTTCCCCTATTAGTGTACAATCTGAAGAATTCTGCTGGGAAGAACTCTGTCAGTGTTTACTTATTTTTAGGAAGCAACCATTGTTCTGTACAGCTGGTGGGTAGTTTAATTTTACATTGGAGTATGAAGTGCCTTTTTTTGTCAAGTATACTCTTATTGCTTTTAGGGACTTCAAGTTGCATGGAAATTACTCAATCTATCTACAATTGCTGCTGAAGAGCTTGCAAAGGAGTCTTTCGACACAGTGATTTTTCAACAGATGAATAATTGTCTTCTTGAACAAAAAAACAATTCAGTGAGTTTTTCTTAACCTACAAAAGCTTTTAAGCTTCGTAGTTTTGCAAACAAATGTAGACTTTGACTTTTCTGTGTTTCAGGTTCTGAACTTGTGCTGCATGTGTCTTTCAAAAATGGCACATGACAGTGACATTAAATACAGCATGCTTGAAAAGGCCTGTGCAGTATGTGATATAGTAATGGCTGAATGCCTGATTCAGCTTGGGGCTGATATAAATAAGAAAACAAAGAAGGAATCCCTGATTTGTCAGGTAAGAAAAAAATGAAGTACGCATTTTTATCCTGACTAAAGTGATATTTACGGGTATATAGAGAGATATTATTTCTTTCTGTAACTGTATGAAAAAAGGAGGTGTGGTATAACACTGCACAGTTTTACTGATCATTTATTTTACCTGATGAAAAAGATTAACTAATGGGTTCAGAATGTTGTCTACCATGTCCTCCTACTGTCATTGTGCTATTGCTCTTCTGTAATTTTCTGTTGGACAGGTATGTGAAAGAACAAGTTGTCCAGAACTGGTGGAGTTGCTGTTAAAAAGTGGAACACATGAGCAGCATATTCGAAAAGCCCTGAACATCAGCATCAGAAAGCGTGATGGTCCTGTTATTAGCTTGCTGTTGAAGAAACTGGGGCTTGATCTAGCCAACAATGCCATCTGTCTGGGTGGATTTAGACTCGGACACATTGAATCCTCCTGGTTAAGTCCATTGTTTTTGGAACGCAGAACTTGTAGTTTTCGAAGAAGAACAAGTAGGTTTGATTTATATATTGTTGTCTGCTATAAAATTACATTTTCTTACCTAAACTTTAATTAGTCAGTGGGCCTAATCTGAGGATTCATTTACTCACTCTTCATTGTTAATACATGTTCTGGAGTCTGTAATAAAAACAGCATTCTGCATTTTCTTCAAAGAATACTGCAAAATTTATTTATACACAGGCATATGCAAGATATATGTGTAATATGTTTTATTTGTTCTCATAAAAGATTGCATTAAATATATACATGCATTAAATATATTTGACTATATAGATTATAGTCAAGTATAAGTCTGTCCCGACACCAGCTTCAGTAAATGTGTCAAATGACCTCCTTCATTTGTAATTGTTCTTATGTGCTTATGCGTAAAGTTCTAGAATTCAATCACTTCTGTCTTCATTGGTTTACATTTGCCATTCCTTTCTCATCTTTGTGGTCTAGCTTTCAAGTATCATGCAAAATGAGCTTTGCATATATTATCCAGAAGAAATCTAGTGTCAAAATATCTGGAATTTCCTCTCAAAAATATCCTGCGTTGTAAAGACAATCTTAACACCTTTACCTCTTCAATCGAGGAACTTCAGTGACACAGTGTTCTCCGAAACAAGAGAGGGGCAAAACAACAAACCATCTTGCATGCCTATGTCTAACACATGACACTACTAAAATGAGTTATTATTTCTTGACTGTCCTGTGTAGCTTTCCTTGGGCTGAATACATTTTAGATATTTGTTTCTTTAAATGTCACATCAAATGTATTAATTATAGAAATTATTTCATTTTATGTTCCATGTACAGGCAAAGGGATTTCGCTATCTAGAGTCATTTTAAAATACCAGAAACGACAGGCTGCCTTGGAGTCTCAGAGATCCATTTCTGATGTGTCCAGTTCGGGATATACATCAGATGAAACCGAAGACTGGGTGCTTTCACCTCAGGATGACAGCAGTGCTTTTATAAATGAAGACATAGAAAGTGATGGTAGGGATGATTTTGGTGTTAATTTGCACATTGGTATTTTCATGTTTCCTGTGATTACAATAAATAATTTAAGTTAGGGGTTACCAACCACGGTTCAAAGCAGTTCAAAATCAGTCTTTGTAAGATAACTAGGAAAAAAGTATGTCATATGTTTAAAGGCAGCTATGGAATACACTCCTTGCAATCACATTTTTGTCATGGATCACATTGTTGCACTGTGCAATCTTGATCAGATTGCATGCTTTCACTAACTTTGAAGAGAAGCTCTATTTCCTTGTGATCAGATAAGTTCACCATGGACAAGTATCCAGTCAGTGAGCAGTGACAAGTCACATGGCAATCTCTTGGCTGTGAGATGCTCTTGCTTCTGATTGATTGCATGCAATCAGGTTTAATCACACTGAACATTGGACTACATGGAAATGCAAAATGTAACACAGCCTTAACTTAACTTAACGTATTGCAGTACTCAATGTCCCACATTTATGTAAGCATGCTCTTCATTTCTAGACAAATTAAAATGCATAATAGACATATTCCCATGCAAAGTAATTGACTTAAAATAATAGTAAAATAGTAAAAATAAATATGCAATACCTTAAATAAGTAATACATTGAACTACAGAACACATATGATACATAACATACAAAACTCAGACTCGGTCTCGAACTCAGTCTGGAACACTATTGGGAGAATGCTACACAATCCTTCCACAAGAAATTCCATCATTTTGTGTTTTATTGTTTGTTGTGTGAAATGCAGCCTCAGGCACCACTCAGGTGATCAGTTGGGTTGAGATCTGGTAACTGGGACAGTTTTGGCATAAAGTTTATTGTTTTCATGTTCATCAAATCAATCAGTGACTCCACATACCCTGTGGATAGGGGTTCTGTCATTGTGGAAGAATCCACTCTCTTCAGGATAAAAATGCTTCACCCTATGATGAATGTAATCGCTCAGAATGGCTTTGTTATTATTGGCGTTTACCTTACACTCAAAGGGTTGAGTGGACCTACACCATGCCAGGAGAATGCAACCCACACCCAGAGCTCCCAGAACACTTAACCATGGGAAATCAGCACTCAAGCCTACAGGCTTTTTTTTGAATTCCTTTGTAAATGCAACGTTTCTTAAATTCTCTTCCATAAAAATAATACAGTAACTCAGTAAAAAGCAGTAAGTATATTGTTAACTTGATGTTAACTTTTTTTCTTACGTATTTCTGACTCAATTGTACTACAGTATACATGTAAGGAATGTATTTTTTTAAATGTATCATACTGTAGGTATTGTAGAAACCAGCAAGAAAAAACAACATTTTGGAAATTTTTTGACGCTAGCTAGTCCTCACTTGGAATAATTGTTGGAAACCACTGATTCCACAGTAAACTTGTTAAAAAACGTTTCTGATAATATGTTATTTATGTCTTAAAATTTAACAGGTAGCGATGGGATACTTCATATGAAGAGGATATCTCAGTCTGATCTTTCTGGGGAATTCCGTGGAAGTTTTGAAACTGCTCAGAAAGTAAGACATAGATATCCCAGTTCTGAGGTAGGATTATTTTTTTTCTAAGGAAAGTTTTCCATAAATGGTAGTAATATAGCCCATCTAATTAAAATGTAAAGCAGCCATATGAATTGCTGTAGTCAAAAATAAATAATGAATTGTATAAATCACATATTTTAGAAAACCAGCCATGGCCTGGATAGCATCAAAACTCTCTATCCTCCCTGTAAATGAAACTTTCAGGATATGGTTTCATGAGGTAAGAGGAAGAAGGCTCTGACAAAAAACTCCCATCAAACTCCCATGAGTTTGAAACTAAGGATGGGCTGAAGTTTTGATATAATTCCGTTCTGCAGTACCATTTTAAATTTGATGTACTGTAGACATTATTCCTCATCTTTTGATCTGTGAAGCCTTCATCAACATTTTCTGTGCATAGTTTTTTTGAATAGTTTGTTGTTCTGTCTTGCCTAAAGAGACTCTCAATAGGGTTACAAGCAAGAGCTACATTGTAGGGGCCAAAATTGACCAAAGTTGTGTGCAGGGATGAGAGTTCTCAATCTGACATACAGAGAGAATTTGGTTCCCCTGCAGGTTGCCTTCTACCAGATAACAGATTTCTAACCAAAACTGCAGACATGACAGCAAATCATTTTACTATCAGCAGTTATGTATTTGTTTTAGTTTTAAGACTGAACAAGTTTCTTTCCATCAATAAATCTAATTAAGCAAGAATAAAATTAGAAGAGAGCTCCTTCTTTACCGGTCATTGCAACATTTGCAAGTCGAGTTTTATCTGTACACTAACCCCACCCGGTTTCCAATAATTTGGAAGGCGCAGAAATGAGATTATAAAATATTTGTTGTATTTTTTAATAGGCCACCTCTTATTAATGCCCATTTTCAGTTTGTATGCTGTGCCTACCTGTGGGGGTCATCCTCTGTTGGGTTTTTCTAAATTATTTAGGGAATTTGAACAAAGAGATCGATTGGTACAGCATGATGTGTATGGAGGAGACTATAAACATGCCTCCAGAACAATTCAGTTAAATTATATTTACTGAACAACAAGCTATATATATATATAAGTTATATTTCTTTTTTTATGGAGATTGAAAGTTAAAGAGATAAAGGAAACAACCTTTTTCTTTTTTCTGTACAGGGAGAAAGTGGGGATTCAGAGCAAAGTGAGGTGCATCGTCAGAGGTTGAGCAGGAGGTCGTCAAACCAGCAAAGTTAGTGATTAATGTTTCACTTATTCTGAAACGTGCTGAACTGGCAACCTTCCCGTGCCAGTGCCGGTATCCAAATGCTTGGGTGGTTTGCATGTTCTTCTTTAGTTTGCCTTAGTTTTTGCCAGGGTCTTAATTTTCTCCCCTATCTTCGATAGCTTTTCTAAAGTGTCCCTTTCCCCATGTCTTTGCAGAGGATTGGTATTCCTTACAGTGGGAGTGCATGCTCTGGGTCCTTTTTGTGCCCTTTGGTTCCAGAATAGGCTGTAGCTTCCCATGCCCTTCACCAGGATAACATGCTTTCTGATTTATTTTCTAAATCTTTTTGTAATGTAATGATAATCTAGTGAAAACTATGGAACATTGTAATTGTTTAAATAAACAGCCAGCAATATAATGTTCCCAACTGCATGATATTAATGCACTTTTGTCACTCTAACAGGTAGATTTTCTTCAATTCTAACATCACCAGAGCATTCATCTTTGTTTAACGTGGACAAGGAATGTATTAAGTTACTTGACCTTTCTGCGAATGAATTAGACAGTCTAAACACCATTGCTGGGCAGAACTCGATCACAGCTTACTTGGAACACATAGTAAGGCTGGAGCTGAATCAGAACAACCTAACAGAATTTTCTCTGACTCTGTGTGAAGTATGTATACTATTCCTTTGCTTTCTTGTATGTCAGCCTAACTGTTAAACATTTTGCAGACAGTTAAATGGGGCATAATAACAGGCCTAGTGGTCTAGTGGTATAAGAGTAAAGGAAAAAAGAGATTAAGGGTGAAATATTGACCCCACTATATCTAAAAAATCAAAATGATTTAATTTTGTTACAAAATTTGGTCAGGTTTACTTATTACCGTTTCACATACATATTACATTTCCACGTCTTCAAATCATTTACATTTTGAAAATAAAACATCCTGCTGTATGTGTACATCCAAACTCAATTTTCAGGATGATACAAATTTGCTTAAAATATTTTTTTGTCCTTTGTTCTTTGTAAGAGTCATTGAAAGTGTTATTGGTTTCAAACCTCATTTGTTGCATGTTTAGAGTTTTTCATTATTTTTTTCTTTTCTATATTTATTTGTACCAATATCAGGGAATTATTATTCACTGATACATCACTGATACTGATACACTGATACAAGGATACCTTGTCTTTCTTCCTATGTTTAAGACTCTGAAAGGTGTGACTCACTTGGACCTACACAGCAATAAGTTCCAGTCCTTGCCTACTGGTGTGCTAAGCATGCTCTCCCTCAAGGTTCTCAATTTGTCAAGGAATGACATTGGCCCTTGCCTGTCACTGGACCCCATGATAAGATGCTCAAACCTGAAGCAGCTTGTGTTGTCCTATAACCAACTTTCTTCTTTTCCTGACCACCTTGGGCAAGTTATACAAACTTTGGAGGAACTGTACCTTGAAGGGTAAGTAGAACCAAAAGTACACATCAGAGATTTATTTTACATATTTTAATATTGCAAATGCATAAACTTCAGAAACTACCAGAGGTAAGAAAAAAAGCTTTGCCACTTTTTTGTTGAAAAATAACTGTCACAGTATTTTTATTTTTCTGTTACAGAAAATTTCAGTTAAACTTATGCTCAGTGGCATTCATTAGTGTTCTCACCCTTCAATTAAATATACCGCTGGCACAGATATCCAAGTGTTCCAAATATTTTTGGGTTTCTTTATGGTGGTAAAATTAAAATATTAATGTTGGATTTTAATTATTCAATAGTTAGAAAGGATTTTCAAGTCCTTTACAGTAGATCTACAGTATGTGATAGCTTTGACTTCTTACAAATGCACAAAAGACAGTCAGAATTAAGTTATTTCCTCTATCGAGTACAGAGATGTAGCCAGTACAGCACACCATTTCATGTCTTAAACATAATTGAGACTAACGCCAAGCTGCAGGAGATTGTCTGCCTAGCAAAATGCTTTCTTCTGCTGGCATCTGGAAGTGAAAAAAAGAAGTACTGTATAAAATGGTAAACTGAAAATATAGAAAACAGCTTCCCAGTAGAATACTGTACATATTTGGGTAATAACATTTAAAAGTGTAACTGCTGAAGTTAAATATCAGAAAGGATGGTAGAAAGGATGCATACATTTTTTCTCCTGCATCCAGAGATAGAGAATATGAATTGTATAATATAAAGACAAAAGTGAACCCATGTCATTAGTCATCCCGAGTGTTTAATAATTTGCAGTAATAAACTTTAAAAATGTTTAAATGCAAATAGGTTATTATTGCCTCATTCAAAAACAAATTAAAACTAATTATTTGTATTAGGAATTTTTTAAAGTACCGAAATTCAGTAGCGTTTGGTAAAGATCTGATTTTATTTGTGCTGTCATATCATCACATACACTGTGGAAACTTTACACAGTGTATGTGATGGGTAAGTAGGCAAGTATCTGTGCCATAGATCTATAATATATTTTGAAATATATTTTTTTTAGTAGCGAAGGGGATGGAAAAAAGTAAATTTGAACTTAAAACCTAAACAGTATTTTTACTTCTTCACATGATCTTCCAAAACGCTGATATATTATTAAAGATACAGATATATGCAAGCATATATCTGTATCTTAAATAACTGTTTTTCCTAATATGGAAATTTAATGTTGATTCCAGCACTCAATCAATATTTTATTGTTTTATTGATTTTATTTTATGTTTGATGAAGCTTGGAGGGTTAAACATATTTTATTTTGGAACATATTTTATATATACAACATATATACCATTCTTTTGAGCTATATTTTGTCTTATTCTACATTTTACAAATTGTGTATTTAAGAAGAAAAGCAGACAGAAATGTATTAAGGTATTATGTTGCTTGTCACCCCCATCACTTGTTGTTTTAGGAATAAAATTGCAGAAATAACTTCTCCACTCCCCTTGCCTGAGCTGAGGGTCTTGGATGTTAGCAAAAATGATATTATGGAGATTTGTGAGAATTTTCTCTCTGATTGCCCCAAGTTGGAGTCGTTTAATGTTTCTATGAACAAACTCAGTAAGTACAGCTCTTGTACTTCAATGTTCCATTGAATTCTTTGTCAATTTCGTAACAACAAAATTAAATGCCATTGTTGTTTAAATTGATGTGCTAGCTTTTTCAGCTTAGCAGCGTCTTTTAATTTCTGTTCATGCAAAAAACATTTGTTATATCACAGTTACATTACAGCTTCTCTAAGATCAAGTACCTCTCTGGTGGAGGGGGGAGAGGGGGTATTCATTGTGTCCTTACAAGGTTTCCAGTCACTAAGTGACCTTCCACTCACAGGTATTCAATTTGGTTGCCTGAATCAACTGGGAATTTAATAAATATGATTATAGTTGAATATAGCTGCTTTTGAATAACTGGACATGCCAGGTTGATAATAGTGATTTAATTTCTAATTATTAGATTGGCTAATTAAATCTAGGATTGAAAGACAGCATGTATAACAATATTGAAAAGAACCCTCTCTGAACAAATTATATGCATACATTGTGTAAGGGAATAAAGAATTCTGCAGGGACACAAAGCTGGATAATATTTGCAAGTGCTTGAAAAAGATATAATCATCTGTAGTACTGGCCAGAATGACAACAGTCTAGGAGCATTGATAGTAAGTGTGCTTCAGCAACAAGCACAGATGTCTTGGACCAGGACACATGTCAGACAAATATAGTACATAATGTACTGGCCTCTCACTGTGCTGTTCAGAGATACCAGTGAGGAAGTGACTACACTGTTGACAATACTATGTTTCAGCATCAGAACCGCTTACAGATGACCATCAAAAAACAAAAATTGGGGTTGTTACATGGCTACTAAAATTATTTTTTTATATAGTAATTCATACCTTTAAAATATATTCAGTAATCATTTGAAGTACAGTATAGAACATTTAATTTGCAACCACAACCACTGTTTGTATAGCCAGGCTTTTAGACAATATAAAAAACCCTGACTTTCCACAAGGTTGTAGAGGTGTACACTTTCACCGTTCCCATTGACAAGCGCATTGTAATGAGGCAGCACAGACTGAGGCTTATTTGATTCATCAGAGATTGATTCACTTAAAGCAGTGCTCATTAATCACCCTGTTGTACTTCTGTGTACTCCACAGATTTCATTTTGTTTCGCAAGTCTTAAATGTGTTCCTTCTCTATTTAAAGTGCAAGACACAAAAACAATACAATAAAAGAAAGGATATGTTTTTTGACATTATGTTTCTGTGTAGTGTCACCACATAACAACTGATTCAATACTTTTGACAGGACGTTTGCCTGATCTGCCATCAAAACTAACAACAATAAAATTATCTCACAATGAATTTACTTGCATTCCAGATGCAATTGTTAAGCTTCCCTAGTAAGTACCATTTTTAACAGTTTTCACATTTTAGTACTGAATAGTTTGTTTCTACAAAAAGGCTATGTGAAAACATCATCTTCTGCATACAAATATTGAGACATTTTCCTCACTGCATCACAGCAGTCCTTCAGTACTTGCTTATTGTTAGCTATTGATCTATAAAATGTCTGAGAAAATGAAAATGTTTTTTACGAAACTCAAAATGTCTTTATTTTTTAAATTTTTATTTTACTTTAAAATATTTGCCTCATATACAGTATTTACATGTACTGTAGTTGACTTTTGTTTTTAATGTATACTTTTTCACCTGCAGTCTGCGATCAATTGACATGCGAAACAACCAAATCACAGTCCTCCCAAGTCCCTCAGAGTGGGAGTCTAGTAATTTGAGAGAGCTGGTGTTCAGCCACAACCAGATCAGTGAGTTAAACATTAGTGGACCAGTCTACAAGTGGGCCAGACTGGAAAAGCTGCATCTCTGTAAGAACAAGCTGAAGGAGGTAAATAAATATTTCTAATAAACAGAACTTATATAAATTAGATGTTTTTTTAATGCAAACCTTGATTTTCATTTAATATGTGGTTTGAAACATACTTTAATATACACTGCAAGGTGTCATATAACATTTAAGGGTCACCTTAAGGCTGCATAATACTATAATTGGGCTAAATTTGTCTTTGGGTTGTCTGTCTTTTTCAAGATAATTCTCTGTCCATTTCAAGATAATTCTCTGTCCATTTGGGGTTGTCTACACTGGTAATGTTCAGGCTTGGGGTCTGTCAAGTTTTGAAGTCCCCTTGAAGTTTTTTCTTTTATTGAATTTTTATAGGTAGTTTTCTGCAACCCTCTGATGTTCCAGAAAATCTATAGTATTGCATGGAAATGAGCAATATTTTCAAATTTTGTAGGACATTAAATTATAAAAATGAACAATAAAAATATTTAGTAACTTTCAAAAAGCTGTCTAACCTATTTAAAGAAATCTGGTGATAAAATTCAAAATGTGGAAACCCTTTGTTATGTTTTTCCCAGATTCCTCCTCAGATCGGACTCCTTGAAAATGTGACATCCTTAGATGTCAGTAAAAACAGTGACCTAAGGTCCTTTCCAAATGAAATGGGGAAGCTGGAGCGACTCTGGGACCTGCCTTTAGATGAGCTGCAGCTAGACCTAGATCTGAAACACATAGGTAGCAAAACAAAGGACATAATAAGGTATAAATTGGTTTGTTTTTATTTAATAAGAAGAATCTTTTCTTTGTCTCTTGCCATTTCAGAGAGTTTTGATATTATACCTGTCATTTTATTACATGATGTTTTATATAATTTTTAACATAAAATTAACATTAAAATTATTTGCAGTAACTAGTTTGAAGCAATTTATCTTTTGTTTTGTGTAAAAGAAAGTTATATATCAATTAGATGCATACTGTAAATTGCAGGAGTATTAAACTCTTATTTAACTGATGCATCCATCCTGACTTGGAAATGCAGTAAGTGTGTGCCTTATCTGCTTAGTCAGAATGGGAACAGTGGAAAAAAAATAGTTTTTAAAATATATCTTTTTTTTTGTCTTTCCATGGCTTTGCTGACATTTCACTTGATTCCATCTGCAGTGTGTTGTCAAAATGTATTCGCTCTTCATATTCATTTATCCATTTGCCAGATTTCTCCAGCAACGTCTGAAGAAGTCCGTCCCCTACTATAGGATGAAACTGATAGTAGTGGGCAATTCTGAAAGTGGTAAAACTGCGCTGCTCAACCAGCTCATGAAACTTAAACGCTCACAGTGTCGCACTGAAAAGATGGCAGTGGCAATAGATGTTAAGGACTGGGCCATCCGTGACAAAGGAAAAAAGAGCATTGTTTTAAATGTCTGGGACTTTTCTGGTATGCTAAAAATTAGAATGCACGTTTACTGATACTGAAATAAGCAAGTTTGAAAACAAACATTAATTTACATAGACCAAATGTATTAATGTTTTAATTTAAAATGTTACAGTATGTTTCCTAGATATCAAATGCATACAAATATATGTGTATTACAATATTTATATTTATGTCCATGAGTGTTTTTGGTTTTACTTGAACAAATTGTATTCCATGTTTTTACAAAGGGCGAGAGGAGTTTTATGGTTCTCACACTCACTTCCTGACTCCTAGAGCTTTATATCTAGTGGTTTATGATCTGAGCAAAGGAGCAGCTGAAGTTGACGCTATTAAGCCCTGGTTATTCAACATTAAGGTAAGGATTTAAATAAATCAAAACACCCTTACAAAAGTGAATATAATGCTAGGAAAACAGAAAGGGGATCAGGTAACTGAATTACTCATGGAAACTACAGAATTCTGTTTTGTATTTTTCTAATGTTTTTATTGGATTGTCCTGGATCTATTCATTTCTGAGTAATCCTTTTACATATGGCATTTTTATTTCTTGTACTGTATTCTAACTTTCTTTATATTAAAAAATATCAAAATATGGTGAGTCAATTCAGTTAGACTTTTTCCCATCTACTATGGGAGTACATTTTAAAAATGTATTTTTATAATGCAGTGCATTTGGCCTGAACCAGCAATGAATAAATGAATAAATATAATCTTGTAAATGAGTTTCACTTTGACCAGTCATTCCCTCTTATCCATGCTGGATTTCTTTAAGGCAAGAGCATCATCTTCTCCAGTGATACTGGTTGGCACCCACATGGATGTTGCAGAGGAGAAGCATCTTCAGGCCTGTGTTGTGAAAATCAGCAATGAGCTTCTGAATCACCAAGGATTCCCTGTCATTAGAGACTGTCATATTGTCACAGCCACCGAGGACTCTGATTCCATTGGGAAACTGCGCAAAGCCATTGTGAAAGAAGTCATGAACTTCAAGGTAACACATTGCCTTTTCTTTTCATTTATGGTTTATTTTATTTTATAACTGAATATTTCCTAGGTATTGTGACAGTAATCTATAACAGATAGTTAAGATTGACAGGGCATGGTAAATAAAGGTAACATCACACCATCTGGCTGGAATTCATCCTAGATACGATAATATTAAACAGACTGAGATCCTGTGACCTGACCCACCTCTGCCACCACACCAGATTGACTTTGGGTCCATCACAGGAATACTGGTCTCCATTTAAACATCTGGGTGGCTGAAGCAGTGAGGGTAAATCAGTGAGAGTTCAACAGAAGTGTCTCCAGCACGGACCTGAGCCAACAACCTGTCAGTTGTGCATTCAGAGGCTTACCCACTAGTGAACTACTCTGTGTTCTCTGCCATCCCCATCAAGGGATGAGCCAGATGAAAATCTAACATGGTTACAAAGCTTATGAGATCTAATGGCGTTACACTTAATTCACTTAATGTGAACTGATGAAGGAGTAGGAAGAAAACCTTTAATGATGATCAAGTTATTTTTGGTAGTATCCAGGTGACATGAGGCAATTGATTGTAAGTTAAGGGCTAATTATACCTTCCTGATCAAATACACATTTTACCAACAGGTGTTATTTTATTTTTATGTAGTATTTTTTTGTCTCGTAAATACAAAACCAAATTGTCCCCTAAAATGTGCAATAACAATACAAATTAAGTTATGTCTAGATGTCTAGATCAGTGATGAGAAGCAACATTTTTAAAGGAACAAATTCCGTTTTTGCATGATGTGTAATGTCAGTCAATGGAAGAGAAAACCTGTATTAATTATCTTATTCACGCTCATATGACAGTAAATGGTCATAACAATGGAGCTCCTACACGGGGTGCTGTATCTGTTATGTTTGTTTACTGATAGAAGCTTCATACAGTATTTCATTGCCTTTGGTTTCTGATCACTTGCCTTCATTTAAGTTAAATTAAATACAAATGTTGTTTGAATTCAGTATACTAATACATTTTCATGATCAGTTTCTTTCCTTTGTTCCATTACCATGCAGGGGTTGGTCCTGAGTAGTGTGGTTGTTCACTTCTCTAGATTGTTATGTTATGTTTTTTTGAAGTCCTTACTCAGTTGTATCGAACATTAGTCTGCTGAGTGCTTTTAAAAGTCCTGGAAACATGAATCCACTTTGCGGCTGGAAATGTGGATACATGAGGACAGGTTTCAAATGACTGTGTAGCACACCAGAGCCTGATTGTACATCCAATTCTGATCTTAATCTTATTATGAGCATGTTTAATTCGGGTAAACAGATGAGCGCTCAAACTAAGATCAGTTCTGGCACAAATTCTGATTTTGCACAGGAAATATGGATTTTGGCCTTTTTTTTCAAAACTACATCTACACTGTCTAAAATTATTTAAAAGAATGCTGTGCATATTTTGTCAAAATTATTGAAAAAATTAAAAGAGATTATAAATGTTATTAGCAGTATTATAAAAAAGATCAGAACTTACCTGATCAGAGAGGCAAATATACTTGTGGATTTCAGTATTGCAGTGAAATAGAGCTCTCCCAGCCTCTGTGCATTTCAGAGGTCCTTTGACAAATGAAGTTGTGATTTATGTTAGTGTACAGTATGTTTATTGTCCATACAAGCATATGGCTTGTGATGATACTAGAGATTGAAATTGTAGACTAGTAAGTGAAACTAAATTCCAATTAAACTCATAAACTAAATTAGAATTAATCAATTTAATAGCCCTACTGTATGGTCGAAAATGATAATGCGACAGGGATGTTGAAAGTTGCACTAATTTTACCTGCTGCATGTAAATATTTTTAGTGTACTTGAACAGCATTAAAATGTTCTAACACATCTTAGTTTAGTAAACTATGCAATGTACTGTCAGAGTAACAAAGTTACAAATTCAAATAATAAATAGATTTATACTGTATAGTGTATATTTTATATTTCTGCATTAGACTGGCATCCTGTCTAGGGTTTAACCTGCCTTGAGTCTTTTGCCTGCTGGGATAGTATCCTGCTCCCCAACAACCCTGTACTCGATGAAATAGATGGATTATATTTTTCTTAAAAAAACAACATGTACTGAAGTTGAAGTTTTTCATTGTGAGCGCATTTTGAAAACACCAGCAAAATCTTATAAAAACTTAAGTGGATTAAGTGGAACTTTATTATCTTTTATTATATTATTTAACTAATACTTTAGTATGATTAAAACACACCTTATACATTGATTTATCAATACTTTATTGGTGAATTATTGAGTATTGACTGGCTAATACAAAAACATTTGACTATTTTCTTTCCTCACAAAGATTCAAGATCAGCCAGTCATTGGTCAACTGATCCCTGACAGTTACTTAGAGCTGGAGAAAAAAATCCTTCAGGAACGTGAGAGAGTGCCAGCAGAATTTCCGGTCATTTGCCAGCAACGCTTACTGGATATAGTTCAGGAAAATCAACTTAATCTTGATGAAAGTGAACTTCCTCATGCTATTCACTTCCTCAGTGAATCTGGTAAGAGCTGGTTTTCAGAGAATATCTCATGGAAGTGAATAAAACAATCTATACAGTATTAGCTTTTATCTCCTGTAAATGAAATAAATACCCAGTAAAGGTGGAATTTCTGAATTTCTTGGGTAAATTTAATTATCGGGGGTACTTAATGTAACAAGCATTATTGTGAGTAACTCATCAATTAGGTGTTTTGTGTTTCAGCCCATGCCTTCCATTATTTTTTTCAAAAAACATTTAGGATTTTTCTGTTCACAGCAGATTAAGATAAAAGAAAGTTAACATTGTTTGATGGACTAGGACAGAGTGTTGTTAAGTTACTGTACATTAGTTGATGAGATATTGATTTATCAGATGTGAAAGTAATCCTTTGTGTGAGATAGTGTCAGTGACTATTGACTCTGACAAAGGTTCTTGATTCATCCTGTGTTGCTTTCTGCATGTTCAGGTGTCCTCCTACACTTTGATGATCCTGCACTTCAGCTGAGGGACTTGTACTTTGTTGACCCACAATGGCTGTGTAACATAATTTCCCAGGTACTCAATCAGTCCTGTTTTCAAAAGTCTCTTTTTTGTTGTGAGTAAATTAATACTACAGGGAATCCCTAGAATCCAGTGAAAACAAAATGCTAAAGTTCCAAATTGAGCTATCAAATGATAATAAGAAGATAAAGAAGATAAATTCTATGAAACTACTCTATGAGCAAATTCAGGATAGTGGCATATAAATTACTGTTTGATAGTAGAAAGTAAAGTCCTCATACGAGGTTAAAGGCTCATCAGGCTGGTGATTAGTCTATTTTTTGTTACATTAAGTGGACTGACTGAAAGTGCATGACAAATGTATAGATGAGACACTAGTCCATTGTAGGTGTATCCTATCTATAATGGGATTGTCTGGAGCAATTGGGGAAATCTGCTCAAGGGTACAACAGAAGTGTCTATAGCAAAGGACTCAAACCCACAATCTTTAAATTGCTACTATTCTTTACTATCTCCTGTGTACTGCTACCAAAACATGAAATGGATATTTAACACCTAGTTCGTGTTTCAGAGTAATTTTGCAGTTTCTCTAGGAAAGTTTTTGAATGTGATTTTATGTTGTAATGAGTTTTGAAACAGTGCAAAACGATGTGTGTTTAATGATACAGTAGTTTGTCAGAACAAAACAAAAGTGATTCCTCTACATCTCCACTAACCATTCAATAATGCTCCATCTATTTCTACAGTTAGTCCCCAACCACTCTTTAATACCCCAGTAACAAACACAGCACATACTTAAACACAAGGTCCCCTCCACTTGCTCTGGTCCAATTAATTGCAGATGTGCCCATTTCTATTTCCACCTGAAACAAGTGTAGGTCTGTAACGTTGATAACACAGCAATCATATTTTCTTGATCAGGATTATACTGGACATGAAAGACATAGCATTAAATGGGGATATGTTTGCGTAACAATATGTTTTAATATTGATTATCCTCCTTTATCATCTGCTGGCAAATGGATTCTGTGACTTTGCCATCACATTGTAATGATACACTTATATTGGTAGGTTTTGGTTTAGATTTGCTAAAGTACTATTATACTCATTTTATTAGAATCAAGTGGCATCAGTGTACTTGAGGCCTCTGTATAATGTGGTCTCATTTCTAAGATGTCGTCTTGTTATTTGTAAGTTATTTAAGTAAAGTTAGCAGAGCTTCTTCATACTGAAATTTGTTTTTTAATCATTTGCTTTTTGCTTGTTTGTTTTAAAGATATTAACTCTAAATGGAGAAGGATTGTCAAAATATCCAAAAGGCATTGTTCAGCGTTCTGTGGTGGAAAACTTCCTTTTTGAAAAAAAGAGTTTCCCCAGAAATTATGTTACTCAATATTTCAAGCTACTTGAGAAGTTTCAGATTGCACTGCCTTTTGGAGAAGATCAGCTTCTTATTCCTAGCAGGTAAACACTAAATGTAGAAAAGATGAGAAAATACAAATAAAACCCTGCAAGAAAGGCATTTACTGGTTCTCATTTTTATTTTGAATTTTGTGTATTTTTGTCTTTTGTAGTTTGGCTGACAGCAGGCCAGTTATTGAACTTCCACACTGTGAAAACTCAGAGATTATTGTCCGGCTTTATGAGATGCCTTATTTTCCCATGGGCTTCTGGTCCAGACTAATCAACCGTTTGCTTGAAGTTTCTATGTTCATGCTTTCTGGAAGAGGTATATCTGTTCTAAATTTTAATCCATTCTGGTTATTTTATCCTGTATTTGCACTTGCTGTATGTCTGTGTGTCCTTCACTGTGAGGTGCATGTTCTGTTTTAAAATAGCACAATTAGCATAAAACTATAGTTAGCCCGATTACATTTTTAAAAAGTTTATAACTTATAACAGGCTGTTCTTAAATTGTTCTGATTTTTTTAAAATGGTTATGTGCTGTTTGTTAAAATTCGTAGAAAATGTTATTAGTTTGAAAATGAAACTTTTCAAGATATGGGAAGAGACATTCCTCATATGCCATCTCTGTTATGTCTTTCATGTTAATACTCCCTGGAGAGTTAGGTCTTTTAAATCAGAATAGTGATTAGTAGTGTACATTAGATCACTAAGGTTCTGCCAGTTCAAAAGATTGTGTAAAACTAATAAGCTGCAACCCTGTCTTTTTCAGAAAGACCTCTTCGTCCTAATAGGATGTATTGGAGAAAAGGCATATATCTTAACTGGTCTCCAGAAGCTTACTGCTTAGTAGAATCTACCACGATGGATAATGTCCCTGAGAGTTTCGTAAAAATCACAGTTCCATGCTCTCAGAAAGGTAATAGTGAAAAAGAAAATGATGTGTATACACACTTGTTTGTATAGTACAATATATTCAAGCTATGTATTGATATACATTATGTGTGCTCAAATGTTTAATTCAAAAACTTGATACAATTTCTTGAATATGGCTTTTGGTCTGTAAAATACTGACTTACATTCTATCCTATGTGAAGGACTTAAGTAATCTAATACAAACTCCCTACCTCATAGCTAAATAATACCAATTTTCAGTTACTGACCCTCAAGCAATGTAAAAGAAATATAATTGATTTAAAAACTTAAACTGTGTTTTCATTAGTGTGCTTGCCGTTAACTGTTACAGGGAGGAGTGATAATGACTGGATATTGAACATGCTTCCTAAAAACATTTAGGTCCCTGAGCTTACATAACTACATGGGGAGGATAATCTAACATTAAGTAAAGTAAAAAATAAAACTTATTATTAATGTACCAGTTGACAATGCTCTGAATGAAGATGTTGTAATTGTACAAATTGTGTGGGGGAATGTGATTGTATTTTATAACTGCTAACTATAAGAAGTCTGCTCATGCATATTCAGAACAAGCACACTTAAGCCACAGCTTGTGGATATAGTGTGTGGCATATTCAAAATATAAAGAATAGGTTAATTGCATGAGAATAACAGAAAGTTGTCTCTATCAGTAAAAACATAATGTGGTAAAATGTATGTAAACAGTGAATCTTTGGCTTTTGGAAATAAAAA